AAACATACCAGGTTTTTGGCAAAGCAGACAATTGGGGAATCCCCGATTGAGCAGGTCCCATAATAACCATCTCATTATTAATGGCTCTTAAATCTTGCAATAATCTCCATTTACCAGATTTCTTTTTGATGACAAAAATGGGAGTATTATGGGGAGATATAGAAGGTTGTATATCCCCTCCGCTAATTGTTGTTTGACCAGGTCATGGGCTGTTTGTATCTTTTCTTTAGTCAGGGGCCACTGAGGAACCCATACTCTTCTTTCTAATTTCCAAGTAATTTTTATTGTCTCAGTGGCCCCTTCTGAAAACACAATCCATGTCTATCTATTCCTTGATCCTTTTGAATTGGTGTTGCTATACCTTGTTCTTGTTCTCTTAATCTTTTTTCTTTCATAAAACCTTGTCTAGCCCTAGTAGTTGGCACATTAAGATTGATGTTATTTGTTAATGTCTAACCTAATTGATCTAGGACATCTCATCCCCATACATTTATAGGAAGATGATCCAATACATATGGCTATATAGTTCCTTCACATCCTTCAGGATCCTTCCAATCTAATACCATTGCACTTCTATGGGGATTAGTTAGTACTCCTAGGCCCTGAAGCGTTTGAGTGGCCTGTTGTAATGGCCAATGTTTTGGCCATTCCTGAGGAGATATGATGCTAAGGTCTGCACCTGTATCCAGTAGCCCATTAAATTCATATCCTTGAATATTTAGTTTTAGCATTGGGCGAGAATCTAAATTTAAAGACAGTATAGCCTAATCTACACCTGTGGAGCCTAATCCTCTGGAACCTCTTTGTACAGTATGGCTGGAAAATTTATCATGCAGTCTAGGTATTATTAATAACTCTGCTATTCTATCTCCTGGTGAAATTACTGATATACCCCTTGGGGAACTGACTATAATTTTTATTTCACCTTCATAAACAGAATCAATTACCTCAGGACTTATCAGTCCCTTTAGAGTGGAAGAACTGTGTCCCAATAATAAGCCTACTGTTCCTTGGGGAAGAGGTCCTTTTACCCCTCTGGGAATGATTTGAACTCCATCTCTGGAGTTAGTACTGTTCAGGCGGAGGTGCAGATGTCCAATCCTGCACTTCCTCTGGTTTGTCTGATGAGAGATCTAATGGACAATGTGTCCTGGGCACTACCCTGATGGTGTTGCTGGGTTCCTCCAGTTCCCTGTGTATTTGTGGTCGTGGGCCCCAGAGTATTGGGCCCCCCTGTCCATTTTTTGGCAATGGAGCCAGATGCTTTTCTCCACAATATCGTGGGTAAACACCTGGTCCTTGTCCATTTTTTGATAACAGAATACCCTCTATGGTCATTTGAGAATGGTATTCATTAGCCCAATGTCTCTCTTTACGGCATCATGGGCAAATACCCGGGATTCTACTCCTTTGATATCTAGCTTTGTTAAACCCTCCTCCTACGGGGCAACTTCTTTTAAAATGTCCTGTTTGTTCACAATTGTAGCATGTTTTTGGCCTGGCATCTAAAACCTGTTGTACTGCAGCTGCCAAAACTTGCCCTTGTTCATTAATGTCTCTACATAATTTTACATATGTGTTTAAATCTCCATGTTTCCATGGTCTAATGGCCTCCTTGCACCATCTGTTTGCTTGCTCAGAGGCTAGCTGTTTAATTAATGGCATTGCTTGTTCTGTGTCCCCAAAAACCCTGGTAGCTGTTTGAATAAGCCTATCTACAAATTCAGCGTAAGGTTCATTAGCTTCTTGTATTTTCTTAGATAATTGACCTTGTAAATCTCCATGTTCTCGTAAAGTCTTCCATGCCCTAACTGAATCTGCAGCAATTTGTGCATATATAGCAGGATCATATTCAGTTTGTTGCCCTTGACCCTCATAAGGTCCTTTTTCTAGCAACATATCTAGATTTCTTTGAGGGTAACCGGCTGCTGGCCTAGCCGTCTCCAAGCAAAATTCCCCATTGGCAACCTTCCATAACAAATATTGTCCTCCATTTAGCACAGATTTCCACATTCTAGCCCAGTCTGCTGGTGTCATGTCAAAGTTGGTAATGGATTCGACCATGCTTACAGTGAAGGGTGCTTGGGGACCATAAGTTGTTACAGCCTCCTTTAACTGCTTTGCTGTTTTGAAATCTAAAGCACAGTGAATTTGCTGCCCTCCTGCCTGCTCAAGTACAGAGCATGCTAATATTTGAGGTCCTGTCTCAGGATCCCATCTATCAACTACAGAGGTTGGGGGCCCCATAGGATATATTGTCTCTATAGGTGGAGCAGTTGGTTGGACACTTACATCCTCTGGTGATAGAAAGGTGTTAGTAGCAGCTTCCCTGATAGTTCTTTCTCCTTTAAATTTTCTTCCTCTGTCTGATTAGCTAGAGAGACCTTCTCTTTTACTTGATCTAAAATGTCTTTCTCCATGGTCTGAACCTCTAAGAATTTACTTAACACTCTTTCGGTTTGTTTTTTACTAATTTCTAATCTACTATAAAGATAATGCAACCCAACAAGATAACACAAAACAAATCCGAAACAGAATGAAACAAAAACGGAACAAAAGATCGTTGAATCAATTTTCCTATTTTCTTGAAATGTATTTTCGTGGTCTATCTCTATCTCTTCCTCAGGGCCGAACAACTTCAAACCTTGAGCCAACCATTTTTCCCAGTTTGTTTAAGAAAGTTCTAGGGATAGGAAGCTTGAAACAAAAACAAAACAAATCAAATCAAGAACACATTGTTTTTTGAAATGGTCACCCATTCTCTCGCCTTCCCTTAGGGGTGAGCAATTTCACTTACCTCTGAGCTTCAGGCATTCCCCACATGGGCCGCCAATTGCCGCAGTCTTGCTGGGCACAAATCAAGAGCCACTCAAGCAGGAACAAACTTTATTTCTGAACTCCACCAGCACACTCCACACACGCTCCCCAGGAACTCCCGAACACCAGGCTCCTCCAGGAACCACCAACCGGAAATCCCTCCTCCAGCACTTCCCCAACCAATGCGAACTCTTCAGGAATCCCTGTGAGAGCTCAACTGGAACTCAGTGGGAACTCCTCGAGAACTCAAAAGTCATCATCTTTATGACTTGCTGGCGTCACCTCTCAACCACTACTACTGGCAAAAATGCCATGCATCATCCCGACTCGGCTGTGTCCCTCAACAGTACAGGGTTCAGGTAAAGACATTCTCTTGCTCATTTCTGTGGCATTATCACATAAAGTATGTACTGATATCATTTGATTATTACCATGAAGTGATTTAAATTTAATACTCTCATACATACATTAAAAGGGTCTGCAAGAATTAAAACATGATTTTTTAGCTGATAGTCAATTCAAACAGTAACTCTGTAAACTCAGAAATTTCCATGCCTTGTTTACTAATGGACCCAATTTATTCCATGCTGAAAAAATGGTAGAAAGATAGATAATCTTAGGCACTCAGATTAACAACAATTTTTTTAGCATAATGAAGTCTAGAGATTACATTGGATGTCCCAGTATAGACTTCATGTATCATTTTATATAATTTTCTAGTATATAGTATATTCTCTTTGTTTATCTGTTTGTGAAAATTGAGGCTAAATTCTTATCTTGGCTATTGTAAATTAGGTATTAACAAAGATGACACTGCAGAGATCACTTCCCATACTGATTTTAAATCTCTTGGATAAATATCAAGAAATTGATTATCTGCATCATGTAGTAGCTCTATTTTTTTTGGCAAAACTTTCATGCAATTTTCATAATGGCTTTTCTACTTTATATTTCCATAGATGGTGCACATGCATTCCAATATCTCCACAACTCCCTCAATAGTTGTTATCTACATTTTATGTATTTATCATTTATGAGTTAAGGAAACAAAATATCTTGCATCAAGTGCAGTAAATGAATCCTTGTATCAAATGATCAATGTGTGGCTGGCTTCTCAGGCCATAGTCACCTTAGTCAGACCAATTGCATCAATGACATCAATGTTTGCAGTGAATATTATTTTTGGTTGTGTGAATCCTACTACTCCAGAAATGCACCTACAATGTAAATACTTGGGATTTATGCATAATATACATATAAGAATGCAAATTATATTTTATCCAATCATCCCTAAATATCATGTATTTTGGGTAAATATTAATTTTCTGTGGATGACTATAGATCATTAATTAGATTTACAAAAGAACACTTTCTGTTTCCTTCATCAAGGTATTCTTAATTCTTTATGATGTATTACTAGAAATATTAAAAAGTAATAAACCTTAAACCATTCCCATTTACAAGCCTGAAGAACTTTGGCACTCAATAGTCATATAATAATTGTTTCTCTTTTTGTTGAAAAATAATACAAAAAGCAAATAGACTGAGTATTGTCTCTTGAGCACACGAAAGACTAATATTGTTCAAATTTCTCAAAAAATACCATTTTTATTACAGTATTTGAAATATACGACTAGAATTATCCTCCAATAGAATATTTAAAACTGTATTTCTGATATTTCAAGTTATTCTTGAGAAGAAATATTATGTTTTTTTTTTAAGTTCATTATAGTTATACATAATAGCTGGGTTTATTTTGACATAATCATATATGAACAGGATTTAATTTGCTCCATTTCAGTCCATAATGGTTGCCTCCTATTTCCTTCCTTTCATCCCTCCCTATATTCCCCCTTTATGCTGGTATTTATTTATTTATTTATTTTTACATGTACATTGTCTAATTGTATCAAACTCATTCCACATTTTCTTCCCTTTTTTCTTCCTAGTCTCGCCCCTCAATCTCCTTCTTCTCCACTGATCTTCCCTCTATCCTTATGACTATGATTTTATGCTATCACTGCCCACTATCCCATGAAAGGTTATAAATGTGAAGCCATCTGCTGTATTTTGTAGCACACTAGCATTCTAGAAGACTTAGGCCAAACAAGTGGTTGGCTGCCCTCTGAATACAGTGTGAAAATTTTAATACAATAAAATTATTTTAGTCATAGAAGAAAACAATTTTTATAATTCATTTATTGATCTACTAAAACTCATTCATTTTTATTACTTGAAAAGAACACAAAATAGAATGTACCCTACTTTTGACAGGTATGTAACAAAACTTCTTGATAATGACAGAGGAAGCAAAGAAAAAGATGATAAAACTCTGTTAGTTGATGAGCATGGAGCCTGAAGTCACATTCCTGAGAGCTTGCTGGAGCTGGAAGATTGCAGATGCAACAACATTTAGTGAGAGAGATGCTTAGAAATTCCTCCTACAGTCAAAACACCAATCAGCCACCTTGTTTGGCTGATGTTTACTGGAGTTCTCTCTCTCAGCCTTTGAAAATGACCTCACAAGTAGAGAAGCTTTGTTATGCTTGATCACTCTCCATCTTCTCCTCTCTCCTTCATTTCTTATAGTGAAAAAGGCTGAAAGCTTTGAGTCATTCCCTCCCACTCCTTGCCCTGTTGTGGAGAGTGCTGAACTAATGGTCAGATGGTGTTTTATGAAGCCCTCAGTGTCCATAGTAAAGACTCATGTTAAATTCATAAAACTACATAGTTCCATAAAGAACAAATTACCTTTGTTGAAGCATTTCTCATGCATTTCCTTATATAGCTCACATGGCTTAGAAGACAAGGTCCTTTAGGGAATTATCTTCAAGTTTTCCTAAAAATGAAAACTGTTCAAAATAACAGAGAAAAATCTTTATTTGACAAGTTTTTGGATATGATAATAGATGCAAATCTATCTAAATAGTTTAATAGCTTTCTAGCGATCTGGTCATCTCTGTATGAATGGCTTCAAAAAATAAAGTAATTTATAAAATATGACCGATCATGAGAATAACATTTTGATGACTTGTTAGAGGTTTTTTTTTTTTTAACCCATTAGTAACTCTTTTTTAATGTGAGAAAAAACTTCTATCTGACTTGACATTAAAGTACCTATACTTTTGTAAGAGTGCTTTGACCTTTAGCAGTATGGTATGATCAAAGGTATTTTAAACTAATTGACTTTAAAAGAAAAAAAAAGACACATGAGCTTTTCAAAGTTTTAGAAATAGCTATCTAACTGCCAATAAAAATGTATTCTCATATTTCAAGCACAAAATTAAAACACTTAACTGACTCATACTTTCCTACATGCACATATACAAAATACACATCCACTCTTTATATTTTTAATCTTTTTCTTTAAATAATGTACATTTCAAGAATAAAATTATGGGCACGAAGAAACGAGCACCCACCATGAGGAAAACAAGAAGTTTTGGCATTTATTAACTTGAATTTGCTAATTAATTTGACAAAGCAAGACATGATTTTAAGTAAAACTACTTTTAAACCAGTAAATTTATTGTTTTAGCATTTTAAAGAAAGAAAAAAAAGCCTGTTAGGCTGACATGAAACTTGTCAGTATAGCAATATTATCATTGATATCATGCCAATAATATAGATTATGGACTGAGTACTAAAGACATTTTTGAGAAAAAAATTGTAAATAAAAGAGTCAGTTTTTAAACTCATTTTGTTCCCTGAATTTCTATGATGAAATAAAAGGAATTAACTATTTATTGGGTAAAAACATGTCTTTGTATTTAAATTTTTTAGAATTATGTATATAAGCGTATATGCATGTACACAAATATTTGCATGTATTATAAAACTGAGGGCTTTTGGGCTGGGGATGTGGCTCAGACGGTAGCGCGCTTGCCTGGCATGCGTGCGACCCAGGTTTGATCCTCAGCACCACATACCAACAAAGATGTTGTGTCGGCCGAGAACTAGAAAATAAATATTAAAAATTCTCTCTCTCTCTCTCTCCTCTCTCACTCTCTCTTTAAAAAAAAATGAGGACTTTTGATGGTTTTAACTTAAAAGAGAATCAAAATATGAGACATCAAAATTTTTACCACTTAACTGTATGGCATTTTCTAGTTTGGAATGTGTCCTTTAAGATTAAATTGCTTGAAATATAATATGGTTTTTGCATTATGGTAATCTTGTGGTTACACATATGTAAAATTAGTGCTACAACAATAGTATGTTTGAAACTTTGCGAAAAACAAAATATCTTCAATATAATTTTAAAAGATCAAAATTTTTCTGATTGTAGCTTCCTCAATATCACGTAGAAAAAATGTGTATAAGATACACCATGTAAGAGAACACTACTAGGTTTTCACACACAAACTGCTCATGAATTTTTCAGATTTTTTATCGTGAAAATTTTGTTTTCAAAAACATAAGTGCTCTTTTAAGGAAGACTAAGTTTAAGAAGTTGCTGCAATCAGTAGAAGTATTGTATAATAAAAATATTTAACTGCATATTAATAATTCCATACTACCAAATACTTTACTTTTCCAATTAAAGAGAGATTATAAATTGGATTATGATAATTTGATTGTTTCACTTCTTTTTTTTTAAGAGAGAGTGAGAGAGGAGAGAGAGAGAGAGAGAGAATTTTTAATATTTATTTTTTAGTTCTCGGGGGACACAACATCTTTGTTGGTATGTGGTGCTGAGGATCGAACCCGGGCCGCACGCATGCCGGGCGAGCGCGCTACCGCTTGAGCCACATCCCCAGCCCTGTTTCACTTCTTAATGTTTTGTGTTCATACTGTCTGCCATGAAGCTTTACTGTTTCTCTAGTAATCAGGATGGATGTCCTCTTCCTTGATTTTTGGGTCAGCCTCATAGAAGAGACCTCTGGAGTGTCTTCTGTATAGAATTTATTTCCTCATTCTTGAAGGCTGTATTCTCATGACCTAATCACATTCTAAATTTTCTCCTCATAATACCCTCACCTTGGAGGTTAGAATTTTCACACAAAAATTTTAGGAGGACATAAATATTCAGACCACAAAATTCTATCTCTGAACCCCAAATTCATGTTCTGATCTCATGCAAAATACATTTGTTCCATTTGTATGACTCCAAAATTCTCAACTTACTCAGGCATCAACTCAAAGTGCTTCAGCCTAAAGAGGCATCTAACTATCAACTAAATCAAATATGAGGAGGCTCAAGATAGACATAGTTCTGAGGCAAATTTCTCTCCAGCTATGAAACTGTGAAATCAATCAAGTGTATGTGCTTCCAAACTAGAAGAAAGAAATGGGCCAGGAAAGATGTCCCTGTTCCAAAAGGGATAGATAGAAAAGTAGAATGTAGTAGTGGGTCCTACATGTTTAAAACCAATTGATAAATAATATTAAATCTTAACACCCCAGAATAGGGTTCCTGCATGGGGCTTTTCCCACCAGACCTAGTCCAGTAGAGTTCCCATCTCTAGAAATTTTGCTTTCTCCTGCAGCTTTACATGCCTCATGGCTCTATTGGGCTCCCAACCACACTGAACTATCACAGTTTCAATTGGGATGCTTGCAGCTTTACGGGACTCTAATGAAACTCCGTTGCTGCTCCAGTCAGAGGGCACGAGGGCATCTCAGCTCACATGACTTCAAAGGGCATTGACCTATTTTATGGCTTAAATATGAAGTTTTCTCCAAAAACTCATGTGTGAGACAATGCAAGAAAATTTAAAGGTAAAATTATTGACTTATGAAAGTTTTAACTTAACCAGTGCAGGTGTTAACTGGTTGGTAACTGTAGGTAGTTATGGCTGGAGGAGTTTGGTCACTGGCAGAACAGGCCTTTGGAGTTTATATCGTGTCTGTGGTGAAGAGAGTTTTCTTTGCATCTTGGTTGCCATCTTCTGAGGCATTTTCCTCAATATTCTACCAATAATGTTCTATTGTACCTCAGGCCCACAACTAAAACCTTGATCCCAAAATAATTTTTTCTCTTCTAAAATTGTTCTCGGGTATTTTGGTCACAGACACAAACAAATAACAGCAGCAACAACAACAAAAACTGACTAAAACACACTTGTCACAGTGGTTGGTTTTATACATAGATCCTAAAGCCTTTTGGGAAGCCTTTGAAATCTAGATGGAGACAGCTCCACACCCTCAATTATGAAGCTCGTATAGTACATAGCAAGGTGTATTCCAGCCTTTCTGAAGTTTTGGGGGTTTTCTGAGAGGGAGTATAACAGAATGTAAGAAGTAGATCCTGCAACAGTCAATCTATACTCATCTCCTTATCAAATGCTTCTTTGGCAACATGCTTGTCTCCTGATTTCATTGTCTCATTTATTCTAATATGAATAAGCTCAAAGTTTCCAAATTTTTAAACTTATGTATTTTAGTCAGTTTTTTTTTTTGTTATGACCTAAAGACCTGACAAGAACAATTTAAAAACAGAAAAAATAAGGAGCAGAAGGATTCAGGATTTCAGAGGTCTTAGTCTATAGAAAGCTAACTCTATTGCTTTGTGCCCAACAGAGGCAGAACAACATGGTGGAAGATTGTAGAGGAGGAAAGTGCATCAGAACATGGTAACTATGAAGTAAAGAGAACAGTAGAACACTACAGTCACCAAGGACAAAATATAAACCAAAGGCAGACTCTGAGTGACCAACTCTTAAAGCCACTGCCTACCTACCTACAGTTATCACCCAATTAATTAATTCAAGTAGATTAATGTACTGATAAGTGAAGGCTCTAGTAACCTAATTCTTCACCTCTGAACTATCTTTCATGGTCTCACAAATGAGTTTTTGGCAAATACCTTATATTTAAACCATGATATTCTTGTTTAAAATTGTATTTTAAATAATCTCTCTTTTCTTAAATTTTACTGTAAGAAGCCAGAAGGAGCCTGGCATTCTTTCAACACTTTGTTAAGAAATTTCTTTAGCCAAGTATCTGATTTCATTTTTCATAAGATCTACTTTTATTATAGAACAAAACAAAACAAGGACTTGACTATATTCAGTCAAATTTTTGTTGATGTACAACAAAATGTCATTTCACATTACTTATTTCCAACCGAGATCTCCTCAGTGGCTTTTACTATCCTTATTTCTACATTTTGACCATGACCATTTAAGCATTCTCTAAAGAGATTGAGATTATCTTTACAAGTGTCTATCTCTGCTTTGTAGCTCTCATCAAAACCGCCTTAAGGATTCTTCAGACATTTGTCATTGTAAGACTTTTTCTTCTTGGTGCCAATTTCTTTCTTATTTTACTTGAGATCCTAACATCAAAAACCAAAAATTGGGAAGGTAATAAACAACAGACATTTATTACTCACACTTCTGGAGGAAAGGAAGTCTAAGATCAAGTTATAAATAGATTAGGTATCTGATGAATGCTCCTTCCTGATTCATTAGATATCTCTTTTCAATATAACCTCACAGGCTCAGGGGAAAGCCTGTCCCTAAGGTTTATTTTATAAGTGCAGTAATCCCATTGATGGGTGCATGCTTCCTATACTACTCACTTCCCAAACTCCCATCTACTGATATAATCACCTTGGAGTGTCAGGTTTCAAAACACTCATTTTTAGGGGATAGGAACATTCACAAAATAGGAGGCATAATATCTTTTCTCTCGTTCTCCCTATTTGGAGTTACACAAATGCAAATATATTAGTTACTACAAAAAAAGCAAAACTCTCATATTATAGTTTATGTCTGACTTTTATTTCCTCATACAAGACTTGTTAATATTACAATATAAAATAAAGTAAAACTTTCAAGTGACCTCTGAAATTTTTTTTGTCTTTAACACACACACACACACACACACACACACACACACACACACACTTCAGACATTTTCAAAGCCTGACTCAAGCAGTGACATTTATCAAAGCACAAAGAATCATTAAAGGCAATATGGAAGAAGTTTTTGATTTTTAATTACCTCTGGTTATGATTGCTTCAAACATTTATAGAATTATTGGCTTTGGTAAAAATTAAGTGGAGAGAGGAATTCAATGTGTAATGAAATCATTGAAGGCAGAAAGTAAACTAAGAATTACATGTTCCTCCATTACAATTTATATATCACAAAACATAATAGCATGTTATGATTTATCTCTCAGATATACACACACACACACACACACACACACACACACACACCTCAGAGAAAAAGTGGTATTATGACATATGACCTTTTTCCCCTTAAATGCATTCAATGTCAAATTTTCCTGTCACTTTTTATCTTATGTTTCTTTCCAAACATATATTATTTTCTATCTACTCTAAAATAGTGTAAACTGCAAGGATTTTAAAAAGTTGATAGATGGATATAATTAAAATAAGAATATGAAAATAAAACTGACATTCTCTAGTATAAAAATATCAATTCAGGAGCTAAAAATCAAAGCTAGATAAATTTGAATTTCTGAAAAGTTTTACTTCTTATACACATGAATTCTAAAGTGGGTGCATAAAAATGATATGGTGTCATTTTGTCTGATAGAATATTTGCATTGATTTAATATAAGCTTTCACTTGAGGTAGTATTAAAATGAAGACTACTCCATACCATACATTTAATCCAACCCCAATCTTCATGTTCAAGAAACATGGAAAAATATCAAAAGTACTCAAGTAGGGAGAACTACCTGCCCAAGGATTTTCACATTTTATTTCCTGGCTTTTGTGAACAAGTTGTTACATAGCTAAGATAAATTAATATTGCAGATGGAATTAAGTTTACTAATCAGACAGTGTCATAGTATGTTGATTATCCTGAATTACTTGGATGGACAGTGTGTAATTGTGACTGTGCTCACAATGAAAAAGACAGGGCAGAGTTGAAATTATAATGACACCATATCCAAACACTGAACTCACCACTGCTGGTTTTCAAATTAAAAGGGAGCAGGATCCAAAAAAATCTAAGCAGACTCCAGAAGCTAGAAAATTCTAGAAAATGGAGTCTTCCTCAGAGTCACAGCCATCTGAGACAGAGAATCATTCAAATGACATAGTGAAATTTTTCAATTCATTCAGCCCTGCACTGCTTTACAGCTTGGATGTGCAGGGCATAGTGCCCCAGAGATTTCTTTATGCCTTCTCTGTGACCCTTCCAGATTGCAACTCTTTCTATCATATTTTATTTAAAAATATCTTCCATTTTTTATTAATTGGCTTTAACTGCAATAATAAAAAATCTACTTTTTAATTATTGCTGCTATAGCCAATTAATAAAAAAACTTTGTGGCATTAAACAACACAAATTTATTGCCTTAAAGTTCTGGAAGTTGTTTCAGAGAGCTGTGACAAATTCTAATGTCAAAGAGATCTGACATTTTAAAATTGTAAGGCACTCTAAAATTTGCCCCTTAGGAGAATAAACAAGCAGAGTTAACCTGTCTTCCTGTGAAAAAACCTTGAATTGGTAAATACAGATTTTCAAAAAATATTATTTTAGTTGTTAATGGGCCTTTATTTAATTAATTTATTTATATTTGGTACTGAGAAATAAAACACAGTGCCTCACACTGTAGGCACTGGTGACCAAAATGAGGCAAATTAAAAGGCTGCTGAACAAGGGTTTATTGAGATTCGCTCTCAGGCAATACCCTTCAGTCCAACAGAGTGGGTCCAGGGGAATCATGTTCAGGCTCAGCTGGATTGGAATTTTATTGAATTTAGGGGAGGAAGGGAGACCCTGCTGACTGACAGGTGGTTATAAGGCACCTGATTGGTTGTTGTTTTTTTTTTTTTTTGCATGAAAGCTTGGTGTTTTTTTCCCTTAGCCAC